ACTCTTTGCTCATGATCTGCTCGGAACCGAACGCATACAACAGAAATGTGGGCTTAAGGCAGCACAGTGGTTAAAGCCCGAACATACCGTTAAATCTTCCCTTTGCTAGGTCGGACCTCCGGACGATCTGAAGCTTGATGGTTCCGCTGGGAACAGATTCGCAATAAAGGACCTTTCGGTCCACTAACGGACTCATTTCTTTCAGAAAAAAACATTCTATAGAATATTAAATACACATACAATTATTCTTATATTCAAAAATCATGTTTAAAACGTGTTTCTGAGATAAACAGACCAAGAACTCAACCTCCCATGATGCACCTGAAGGTCCGCCCTGAAGTGGCTCCGTATGGAATCTTTTATCGCCAACATTGTTCATCAGCAGTTTGGGCTGTGTCCGGTCTGGAAACAAGTCATTAGCGTTTAACACTCATGGCTGAGGCTAACTACACCTTGAAGGTCAACAAAGACCTGCTGGACCCGAACTTTGAGAGTTACAGGCTGTCTCTGGACCCCATCCCGACCTACACCGTGGACCTGGACGCTGGTGAGGGACTGTGTTAGCAGTCAGAGGGAACTGATTGATGGTCTGGGTTTACCAAGTTGGATTCAGAAACATTTAGTCCGAGTCTCTAGGATTTAAGAATAAAAATCAGTCTCATCTAGACCTGTTCTAAGGTGGTTCAGATTTAACTTCCAAGCTGCCAGACTTCCGTATGATAAATTACAGTGGATCAACGGTTCTCCAGAGCTTTCTTTGGGCTTTGGCTGCTTTTTCACTCACTCTCAGTCCTGTTAGCTGAAATCTTTAATCTGGACCCAGACTAACAGAGTCGTGGTTCTGTTCGTCCGTTTTATGCCTTTAAGCCTCAGTGATCTGCATTTTGTGAGATTTAAACATAAAACAGTAAGAGAGACATTTAACAGCTTCTTTATTATCAAAGAACAAAACAAACGGTGACCTTCTCATCCAGGTCTGATCTGAGGAGATTCTCCTTCCTTGCCTCCAAGCTTTTTTTCTGTAATAATTTGAATGGATCTGGATCAGAAGTTCTCCAGGCTTACTGAAGGCGTTTCTAAATAATTCACAGCTGTTTATTTAAGAAAGCTAGAAAGAAGGCAGAACTTCTCTCATTTAGAAGGTTTTTGCAGTTAGGTGGAAGGAACCTCTTCTGCAAAGCTAGAACATAATATTTAACATTAATTGAGGAGAATAAAACCAAGCCAAGGTTGTTTTTACTGCTGTAGCCACATTAATACAGAGGCATGGATCCACTGAGCTTACCTCTCACTCATATGGATTTTATTTAATACATAAAATTACTTCTATTAACGATGAAATGATGCCTTACTCACCAGTGTTGTTTCTTTCTGGGTCGTCCGATTTCAAAGTAACCGTAGAACCCGATCTGTGTTGAGACGCCTGAACCACATCAACGGATACAGAGAAGCAGCAGGTCCACTTGGATGATGGAGCTCCTCATCGTGTCTCTGAGTCCGGCCACCCTATGGAGAAAGCTCATTTGGGCCGCTTGGATCTGGGTTCTCGTTCTTTCGGTCATGACCCACATCAAGGACCATAGGTGAGGGTCGGAACGTAGATGGACCGGTAAATCGAGATCTTTGCTTTTGGGCTCAGCTCTTTCTCCACCAGAACAAACGGGAGCAGCTGTCACGTTGCTGCAGGAAAAGCCCAAACCCGTCTGACCAGCTCCATCCTACCATGACTCGTTAAGAAGACGCCTAAATTGTAAATGGCCTGAATTAATGTGGCGCCTTTCCAGTCATACCGACCACTCAAAGCGCTTTACCCTAGAGCCACATTCACCCAGACGCAATCACTAACACGCTCACTATTCATACACTGATACGCAGATTGATAAGCAATTTGAGGTTAAGTGCCTTGCCCAGAGGCACATCGACATGTGGCAGGAGGAAGCCGGAATCGAGCCCACAACCCTCGGATTGCAAGATGAGCACTCTTCTTTTTGAACCTAGATACCTAAACTCCTCTGCTCGAGGCAGAGACTGACCCCCAACCCAGAGGGGGCAGTCCACCGTTGTCCAATCCAGAACCATGGCCTCAGACTTACATTAGCTTCCCACTGAGCTGCAAGGCGTTCCAGTGCTTCCTGGAGGTCGTGGCCATTAATCCCTTTCTGGGTTGACGGAGGTTAAAAGATATCAACAACAGTCTTAGGCCCCAGCAAAATAAAAGGTTTAAATCTAAAATAGACACTCTTGCTCCAGTTAAAGCTACAGATTTGATCACAGAGTGATGCATGGATGCAGCAGCCTGATGTATCTCACATTCAGCTGATTGTGCTCTGCATGAAAATAATATATTTGACCTGTTGGATGTTCTTGATGTCCACAGCCAATGAGACAGCGCCAACAGCTCGCTGAGAACGCTGGGGATATGATTCATTATTGCAGTATTCAATAATTATACTGAAAACTCAGGTTTTTTTGTATACTGTACAGCCTTAGCTCCCATTGCTGAGAATAAACCCATATTCTGGTTCTATTCATGGTTTGTCCAACCTCTCATGTTCTTCTCTGGGCTGCAGCTGTGGAGGAGGTGAAGCTGAAGGACTCTCAGTACACCCTGGAACACATGCGAGCATTTGGCATGTACAACTACTTGCACCTCGACCCGTGGTATGAAGACAGCGTTTTGTTTGTGGACTGCCAAGGGCGGGTTCTGAGCCTCACTGTGACCCTGGTGAGTCTCTCTGTGTTTTTATTTTTGGTCTCTTTGCTGTTTTTGCTCCATGGATGTTAAATAAATAATTACAGTGTTCTGGTGGAAACATTTCCAGCTTATTCCTTAATTCTTCCTCTCTGGTTTCAGGCTGAAATCTTTTACCTTCAGGGGGGCTGAGTCACCAGTAGGTGGCGATGTTGTCCAACAACAGCAGTGTTGCCTTATTATTCTGACTCTGGTTGATGATTTCCTGCTGATGATGTTAAATTAGAGGGAGTCTGAGGGTTTCTGTGGAGGTTCTGTTCCGTCCAGGGTCTGCTGCAGATAATAAAGTTAATGTGTTTTTGGTTAATCACAGGAGTGATTATAGCAATGACTCTTGGTTCTGATCCAGGTTTGTCACTGTTACTGAGCAGCTTTTATGTCTCAGAAGTCACAGACTGTAATCAGAGATAATGATGCTGCTTTTTTGTGTAAACTGAAGAAAATGATGATCATCCCACTTTTATCCCATGAGTCAGTGTTTCTGCCTTTCAGCAGCGCCATTAAAGGAAGCTTGTTGTGGCTCTAAATCCTGAGGACCGTGTTAATTAGGATGTAATTAGAAGGTGCTTCATGCACGGTTCAGGGGTTGGATGTCGGAGAGACGAAGCAGAGAGCTGCAGCAGGGATCCGATTGCAGCTGCAGAACCATCTGTCAGGTGTTTGTCTCCTTAATGTAACCAGATTATTACCCAGATTATCCAACAGTTGAAGCCTTCAGCTTCTCTGTGAATCATGAGCATCAGAACCTTCTGGTGTCCTCACACGTTTATGTGTCTGTAGTGTTTCCTAGAGGATTTCTGACACATTAAACAAAACTTATAGGTCCAGTTTCTTCAGAACCATCAAAGGTAAAATCCACTGGGAGCGATTGTGGGCGTGTCTCTCTGCACTCTGGGCTCTGATTGGTCAGAAAACCCTACAGCAGTGGGAGGAAGGAGACAGAAACACCTGCGCTAAGATGGAGAACCTGGATATGAAAGGAGGGTAAACCCAAAAGATTCTGAATATTTCACCGGGTCAGAACCATCATCGCACTCCAAGCTGAACGTTCTGTGGGAAAATCTGAAAAAATCCAAAAACTTAATCTGTGATTTTGGAAAAACTGGGATAACTGGGTCAGATAAAGTCCAACTCCATGTGACCCGTTTACACTTTGAATGATGGTTCTGATGGAAATCAATGGAGGTCCAACCAGGACCGGGTTTGTTACTGCTCCTCTAAATCCCATCATTGTGCTTCATAAACGACGTTGGCTCCAGCGTTGGTGCTGTTTGAGGCTCATGTCTGGATGTGTTTGTTTTGGGCTTTTTTGAATGCTGTTGGATCAGCACCGAAGCAGAGGTCACGACAGAAACAGAAGAACATTAAGAAACACAATTAATGCTAAGAAGTGCTTCACCTCCTCATCTGCTTAACGACATCATGAAGAACTCGTGTTTGATTGATGGTTCTGATGGAAAGTATGGCTGAGGTATGGAGGTCCAAACAGGACTTGGCTATTCCTGATCAAGCTGAAGGTTCTGTTGTATTCTACAAGCAGCAAACTGAAAACCATGCAAAGAATGAAAATAATCGCTAGTGTCACTCATCCTAATGAACCCAGAACAAACCTGATAACCATAAAACTCTCATGATATGATTGGACGGATTTAATTTGGGTCGGGACAGAACTGGGATCTATATGACTGCATGTGAATCGGACCTGTTTGTAATGTGGTTGTTGCTGCTACATTAATCAACTGAAATCTATAATTGTGATAATGTGAATGCAGGACACGGCCCTGGGCAAGCCGAAGGAGGTCTTCAGCATCGGGTCAGAGTCCAGCCAGGGTGAGGACCGGCTCTGCGCCTCCCTCAGCCTCACCTCGGCGACCTGGGTGGTTCTGTCTGATGGCGGCGGCCGGCTGCACCTCCTCCGCACCGGCAAGAGGGGTGACAGCTCTCACATGAAGTGGGAAGTAAGTGCAACAGCTGAAGGAATGAACCAGGAGAACCTGCAAAGAACCTCAGCAGTTCTGAGGCCCGGTTTAGACAGACGACGCTGTGAAATCAAAAACTCAGGAACATGAAGCAATATCCATCCATCCATCCATCCATCCACACACACACACACACACACACACACTTATACCTAAGGGCGGTTTAGAGAGACCAGTTCACAGTCGAGTATTCCGACTGTTGGAGGAAGCTGGAGTACCTGGAGAGAATCCATGCATGCATGGGGAGAACATGCAAACTCCATGCAGAGAGACCCCAGGCTGGGATTTGAACCCAGGGCCTTCTTGCTGCAAGGCTGCAGTGCTACCCACTGCACCATGGTCCTTTTTGTATTAATGTTTATGCGTTCATCATCATGTCTGTTAACTTCTGCTTAGCAATCCGGATCAGAGTGCAGCATTTAAGCCATTAGTCTGACAGCATTATTGGACCGAACAGCACTCAGAACTATGAGAAAGCCCAAGGAAGTGAAGAATCAAAGATTCTCCTCCTGTTCAAACAACTGTACAGAAATCCCAGTTATTGAGAGGGTCTCCATTTTATCAGGGTCTGGAAGAAGATCCAAACTGTCCTCCTTACATGAACATTGGTTCGGATGTCCAGGAACCACCCAGGAACCACCAAGGAACCACCAAGGCTCAAACCTGCATGAACTGGAAACTGCTGGAACACCAGTATCCCTGCTGCCAGTGAAACCAGTTTAACATCACCATGGACTGAGATGGTACAGAACAAGAAAGAAGCTCCTGCTCCAGAATAGACACCTCCAGGCTGGACTCCAGAAGTCCACATGGACAAACCAAATGGGTTCTGGAGAAAGGTTTGGTGGTCAGGCGAATGAGAAAAGGGATTTTTGGTAGCGTTAAGCATGGTGGTGGCAGCATCATGCTCTGTGGTTGGCTGGCTGCCAATGGTACTGCTGCATGAAATAACTCATCTTCTAGTTCACCTCAAACCAACAGCTAGATGGTTTAAACTTGGACCCAGTTGGGTTTTCCAACAGGACAATGACCCGAAACACAGATCCAAACTGGTTCTGGACTGGAGAAAGCAGGATAACACCAAGCTTTAGGGAAGCTTTGTTCTGTTTTCACGGCCTTAATTAACTTCATGTCCAATGATCCGGTTCCTACAGGTTCTGTTCAGCGAACGCATGGGGGAGCCGTTCACCATCCTGCACAGCGTCTCACACGTCCAGGCCGGCGTACACGCCGTGGAGGTGCTGCTGCTGCGCGTCCAGAAGGACCCACAGGAAACCAAAGGAAGCGGATACTCTGTGTTTCTGGAGTGGATCACAGTGGGCAGCGCCGCAGGACACGGTGGGTGGTGTGGGGACTTCTCTTATGAATCTGTGAAATGATTTGAATGAAAGTGCAGACGGATATGAGCTGCTGCATCCCAGAAGATCAGCAGGAAGGATTCTCATTAAAGTTCCTGACATTTGCTGAGGAGGAAATCTGCTCTGGTTAATAAATCAGATATTAAATCATTCAGACAGGAGCAGCCTCTGGAGATTTATAGAGAATGAAAGATGCAGCAGTTTGATATCTGCAGACCTCAGATGAATCCTGATGAAAGAAATAAAACCACTTCTTTCATCAGGATTCTCATCAGAAAATGTCCCAGCAGCTGAAGAACCTCCTCAAAACAGAAAGTCACCTCTGTTTAAAAACCTGCTTTAATCCTTATCAGCAGATCTTTTGGTTTCCACCTACAGGTCAGGAGAGGAAGTACGAGGTGAGGAAGAGGAGGGTCCTCAGAGGGAGGTCGGTGCCTCATTACGCAGCTGTGGAGCCGCAGGGGAAGGGACTGATGGTGGCCTCAGAGAAACCGTTTGTCTTCACGCATGTGGACGGTCATCCTGTGGAGCAGCCGGAGCCCATGGAGGTGGAGAAGACAGGTGGGTCGCAGTGGCTGATGGGAAATCTGACAGGAAGCTGCCAGACTGATCTCACTTTTATTGTTTAGATGTTTAAATATGTTAATTAGTTGACAGACCTTCAGCTTTCAGTCATTTTGTTGGGATTTTATCTGACAGACCAACACAAAGTTGTGCATAATTGTGAACTAGACAGAAAAGCTCCTAAAATCTGAAAAGTGTGGTGTGCATTCAGCCCCCTGAGTCAGTGCTGTGTAGAACCACCTTTGTCTGCAGGTCCAGCTGTGGATCTTTTAGGGTTTGTCTCCACCAGCTTTGAACATCTACAGACTGAACTTTTCTCCATTCTTCTTTGTGAAACATCTCAAGCTCATTCAGTTTGGATGGAAAACATCTGTGAACATCAGTTTTCCAGTCTTGTCACAGATTCTTTATTTTATTTAGATCTGGACTTTGACTAGGCCATTCTAATACATGCTTTGATGTAAACCACCCATTGTATCTCTGGCTGTATGATCTGGGTGGTTTTCCTGCTGGAAGGTGGACCTCCACCCCGATTTCAGGTCTTCTGCAGCTTCTAGCAGGTTTCTTCCAGGATTGTCCTGGATTTAGGTCCATCCATCTCCACAGCATGATGCTGCCACCACCATGTTTCATAGTGAGGATGGTGTGTTCAGTGTTAGCTTTCATACACATTCATTTTACTTGTAGGTCAGAAAGTTGAGCTTTGGTCAGAGCATCTTCTTCCACATGTTTGCTGTCTCTCCTTTATGGTTTAAAACAAACGGCAAACAGGACTTCTTGGATATCTTCTTGCTTCTCTTCCACAACGATCAGATTTTTGGAGTCCATAACTAAAAATTGTCCTGTGGACATATTCTCTCATCTAAGCTGTGGATCTCTGCAGCTCCTCCAGAGCTACCATGGACCTCTTGGCTGCTTCTCCGAGGAATGCTTTCCTTACCTGGCCTGTTAGTTAAGGTGGACGTCCATGTCTTGGTAGGTCAGTGGTCCATCTTCTTCATGATGCTGTTTGTTCTCTAATGTTCTCTGGAGAACCTCTGGGGCCAGAAACAGAACTTCTGCAGTTAGACTCGGATTCAGTTCCACACAGGGGACTCTTTGGTGACCTCTGAAGGCAGCTGGCTGCACGTGGTTTTATTTCCTCCATTAGAGGGAAGGGGGCTGAGGTTGCACACCAAACTTCAGATTTGATTTGTAGAAATGTTAAAAAGCACAAATCATTTTATTTCTGCTCTATGATTTTGCACTACATTGTGTTGGTTCGTCACAGAAAATCCTAATGAAATAATTATAATATGAGAGAAAATGCATGGGGTGTGAATACTTTTCCAGGGCTCGATAAAATCCAGGTCATAAGCTGTGTGAGCTGAGTGGGTCAGAGTGCCTGTTCTCAGAACCCGACCTGCGTGTGGACAAAAACTAAGACAACAGACTCTGAGATATGAGAGGAACCTGCATCGGTCCAGAGCAGCAGAACACGCTGAGTCGGCTGCAGGATCCTGTGGTTCTGATCAGATGGAGTCGCTGAGGAACACGGATACATTTCCAGGCCATTTCTTCCTGTTCCAACTCAGGGAAAGAGGAAAAACTAAAAGCTAATTTCAAACTTATCCAAAGTCATTATTAAAATGTCTTAAATCATCAAAATATCAAATTTTAGAGGTGGCTTGAGCAGAATAGGCTCATAAACAGAACACTTGTGTCTTTAAGGCTCAGATATTCGTTAAATAAAACTGCAGATGAAGGACTGAAATTAAACAGCAGAATCCTGTCTTACCAAAAAGCTCCGGTTGTTCAGTGTTGCCTGTAGATCCTGTCTGAACCCAGACTGCACAGGAAAAACACCCAATATGCATTCTGAGTTACACATATTTAGTGAAAATGTCCCCCTTCATATATGAGGCCCCACTCAGGAACCAGACCCAGGACACTTCAACTCTTCTTCTGCAGATTTTTTGCTTCTCATGTTTTTAACAGGTGCTAAAAAATGTCGAAAAGAAATCTGAACTCCACTGAGTTCACACATGAGCTCTGAAATAAGCCGAGTTAAATTTGACTTCTGGGTTCTTCTTAAAAAGCGTTCTAGATGACAGGGATGTTATGGAGGAGATTAACAGTCAGCAGGTGGCGCTGTAGGCTGCTTTCTACAAGGCTGTGGAATATTTCCAGTTTATCAGCTCTGCATTAAGTAAGAATAAAGCCTTCTGTGCAGGATATCTGAAGCAGCTTTTAATCAGTTTTCTCTAATTGCCAACATCTGTAATCTACAGGACTGGATCTCAGGATGAGAGATGAAATGTAGAAAGGCCACACGAGGCGCCTGGTGGAGGAGAGACGCACATATTTCTCTCAGATGCTGTACCTGATGTTGCAGAGTGTCCAGGCGTCCCTGCAAACCAAGATTCAATCGAATTGTATTTTAACGAGCAAATTTAGGAAGAAATTTCCTGTAACTGGACCGAGTTTATCACTATTTTCTCCAACATCTGGGTGTTGTCTAGAGGGAACATTTATGTCAGTTTTCTGTCAATTTCACCACCAACTCAGTCATTGGAAGGTGTTACTTGTTAGGGCACAATTTTTCCTTTCTCTAGGTTTTTCCAAAGCTGTGGGCACGTTGGCGCTGTGGGTAGCACTGCTACCTTGCAGCAAGAAGGTCCTGGGTTCGAATCCCCGTCTGGGGTCTTCCTGCATGGAGTTTGCATGTTCTCCCTGTGCATGTGTGGGTTCCCTCTGGGTGGACTGTCCACAAACATGACTGTTCGATTCATCCAAAATGCCCTTAGAGCCATATATGGGTGCATGCTTGTCCAGTGTTTACACCGCCTGTCACCCAATGACTGCTAGAGATGGGTAGCAGCCCAAGGTCAAAGTGTGAAGCTCAGAGAAATGATCAAAGACCCCAGAGCTCCATCTCAGACTCCACTGGCCTCACTTAGAAGGTTAAAGGTCATGACAGGACAGTTAAAAACAGGGTTGAAGAAGAAAGCCTCTTCTCTCTAGAAACAAGATGGCAGCAGGACTTAGGTTGCAAAGCTGCATCTGTATGAAGGACAAGACTTCTGGAATGATGCACTCTGGGCAGATGGGACCAAAGCAGAGATGTTGGACCATGATGGACAGAACCATGCTTTGTTTTCTCCAACCAGCACAAACACTTGAAACTTCTACTTCTATTAGAATCAAACGTGAGTCCATCTGGGTTATGAACGGGACAGTGATCTCAAACACAGCAGCAGATCTGCAGCAGAATGGCTGAAGAAGAGGTTCTACAAGCTGCTGGATCAGGGATGGATTCTGCGATAAGGCAGATGGTGGTATTTAATGTTTATGATGTTAACAATCCATCAAACATCAAGAGCTGAAAAAAGTCAGTAAACCCCACTGAGACACATCTTATTCCAAACTGTGGAGAGGCTC